GGCAGCTGCAATAGTGTCAGCAGTAAAAAACGTAAATTAAAAATAGAAGAGACAGAGAACGAGGTAGGGGGGCTGGTGCTCACCTGCCTGAGGCTAGGGCTCCCTTGCTGCCCGAGGGTGGTCCTTGCAAGGGAGGCCTCCCATAAGAGCTGGGCCAAGCTCCGTGATTGGCGGGGGACCCCGGTGGGTGGGAGCAGGCCTTCCCCCCAGGTGGCCTGGGCCCCTGTGATGATCACCGGGTGCTTCTCCACCTTCAAAACGAGGCTCACATTGAAAGGGCCTGGGCCCCGTCTTGGGTGATTCAATTGAATTGGTCTGGGGGGGCCTTAGAGAACCAGGGGCCTTCAGAGGCTCCTCCGGTGACTCTGGTGCTCAATCTCGCTCCTAGACCGTTTTACATTCTATATAAAATAAAATCCATGTATCAGGACAGCCAAGCTCATTTGTTCTACAGTTGATGTTAGTACTTTGTGTTGACACTTAAATGTGACATAAATTTAAATGAGACACTTCAATCTGAATTTGTCTGACTTATTTTGCATTAATTCTTACGTGTATTAATTTTTACTTCTTTTGCCAATTTGAAAGCCAATTTTTTTCCAGGGGAAAAAAAATTGAAAACTGAAAGATTCTCTAGGCTCTATGACTGGAAATTAGACTATGGCTACATAAGATGGATGAAAGGATTCAACAAGTTGTTTGTAGGTTTTTGTTTTAGTTTTATTTATTTATATTTTTTTGGCTTGGGAATTTTCTCTCCAAGATACTTGCTTATCTCCAGGGTATTACGGGTCTCGGATGAGAGAAAAAGAGAGAGACAGAGACAGAGACAGAGAGGGAGAGAGAGGGAGAATGTTAGATCTGTCTAACTTTGACATTTAGGGGAAGAATTAGGGAGAAGAGGTAGGGAAATAAAGAACTGAGGTGAAAATAATAAGTCAATAACAAGAGTGGTAACAATAATTACTATAAAAACATAACCTTAGTCACGATTATGTGCCTGATCTTTCTAAGCGATCACATATATTAAATCATTTACTCCTCAAACAATAGTAGGACATAGGTGTGACTATTAGCACAGTGTCCTGCAGATGACACGCCTGAGGCACAGGGAGCTTGAGAGGCAGTGACAGTCTGCAGGGGAGCCCGGGCGGGTGGCTCAGCTGGTTGGAGCAGAGTCCCAGACGCTGAAAGGTTGCGGGTTCAGCCCCCAGTAGGGATGCAACCCATGGGTATTTCTCTCTCACATCTACGCTCCTCTCTCTCTCCCCCCGCACCCCCTCCCCTAAAATCAATGAAGATATCCCCAGGTGAGGATTAAAGAAAAAGAAAAAAGGCGGGATGGCGTGAGAGCCAGTGCCTTGAACAATTAGCTAAGCACCATAACCAGCTAGCTAACCAAGTTAATAAACCGGCAAATGCATAAGTTAAAGTACACAATCACTTATTCGCACAAATACAGTTTAGTGCTCAGGGAACCAGCTGGGAGGCAACAGGATCACACGCATCGCGTCTGGAGCCCACGCCCCGGGGCCAGTTACTGCACTGTCCCCGCCTGTCGCCAGCCTACAGCCCCGGCGCCTTCATGCTCCCGGTGCACCGCCAGAGAAACCGGGCTGACGTGCGGAGCCACAGCCCGGCTCCCGCTCACAGAGCTCGCGGCGCGGGGCCGGATGGGCTTCAACGGACTTCTGCTGGAAGAAGAAGTGAGCCTGGGTGCGGCAGGCAGAGCCTGAAATGTGGTTAAATGTGAAAAAGAGGAACCACGCGGCCGGGACGAGCGCCGGGTGGACTGATAAGAGGCCACAATCAGAAACACGCCAACAGAATGCCCCGAGTCGTTAAAACAGATCTGAGCCAGGCCACCGGGGTCTCTGCAAGGGGGCAGGCATGGCAGGGGCAAGGCAGGGCTGTCGCCTGGAGAGGGGGGAACAAAAGCCACCCCCTAAACCACCTGCTTCCAAACAAGCCCTCGGAGCCCTGCCACTGGTGACGACGCCGATGGACCTGGGGGGCGCCGTGCGAGGTGCAAGAAGTCGGAGAAAGACAAGTGCTGCGTGATGTCGCTTATACGGGGGATCTGAAAACGCTGAGCTCATAGGAACAAAGGGCGCAGTGGTGGTTACCGGGGCTGGGTGGGCAGGGAGACGTTGGCCAAGGGATACAAAGCTCCCATTATAAGATGAGTAAGTCCTGGGGATCTAACCAACAGTATAGTGATGCTAGTCCACAAATTGATATTATGTATTTGAAAGTTGCTAAGAGAGTAGCCACCAAAAAAAAAAAAAAAGAGGTAATTATGAGAGGCTAACGTTACAGTGGCGGTCACATCGCGGTATATAAATGTATCAAATCAGCACATCCTACGCCTTAAGCTGACACAACGTAATATGTCAACTATATCCCAGTCGATAAAAATAAATAAAAAGAAACGAGTTGCTGCCCTGGCTGGCTCAGTGGTTAGAGCGTAGATCCAAGCACCCAAGGGTCTTGGGTTCAATTCCCAGTCAAGGGCCGGGAGGCAACCAATAGAGGTGTCTCTCTCTCCACTTCCCTTCCCCTCCACTTTCTCTAAAATCAATGGAAAAAATATCCTCGGGTGACGACTCACAACAAAGAAAAAGAAAGAAACTCAGAATCGAGAAGTGGCGACCAGGGCTTCGCGCGCTGGGCCTTCGGTTGGAAACTGCTTCCTTGCGGGTCTGCGTCCTGTGGTTTTCTTACCCCACCCACGGCACAAAAACATTAGAGGGGCCCAGGGGGTGGCCATCACTTTAGGCTGACCACAGGGCCCGGTTTTGCTTCTGAGCCATAGCGGCCTGGTTGATCCGCGCCCTTGGACAGGCTGCGGCCTGGCCCGGACCAGCTGGTGGACTCTGGTGGTCCCCCCCAAATACACCGCCCCCCACGTCTCGCCCGGCACTGGCCGCAGCTCGCAGCTCCGATGCTGAGTGATTTCAGCTGCGCCTACGGCCTCGCCAAAGGAACCGCAGGAAAAGGGCAGCAGGGCCTCCGCGCTCCTCACTTCTGCTGCGGGAAGAAGAAGTGAGTCTGGGTGCGGCGCAGGCCGCTCACGCTCGCCCGGCAGCGCGGGGTCACTGTCACCCCCGTCTGCGCCCAGGCCCCCAGGAGCACGGGTCACTGTCTGCGCCGTATCACTGAGGCCAGGGGCCTGCCAGGACCCAGGACCATGTACGAGGCTCTTCCCATCCTGCTCGACCTGGGAGAGTCTGGAGAGAAGCCCGGGGCAGGTCGGTCATTGTTCTACAAGGCNAAACTAATGCAAAATAATATTAAATGTAAACTGCAAATTGAAAAAACATTTTTTTAAGACTGGGCTGTTCTCACCTGTGTTTCCTTCCAGGGCTGTATCTAGCCCAGGGCACTCGGGCTCAGGACGGTGAGTGTCTTTTCAATACTCAAGGACTGAGTAGGGTTTGGCCAGATGCCAGCTCTCTCGGTGGCTGGGAAGAGGGGTCTTGGCACTTAAACCCGTGGCTGCAAGAGGGGAGGAGGTGGAGAATGGCACCAACACCGGTAAATGTATCACCTGTTCTTCTAGGACGACTCCCCCCACCGGTTATCACAGCTCGGCCTGCATCCGTGGTTCTGTCTAAAAGCCCTGTGACCATCCTGTGCCAGGGGCCTCCAGACGCTGAAGCATATGAGATATTCAAAGAGAAAGGACCTGAGCCGAGGAACAGGCTGGAATTCCAGGTGGCCGGGAAGACCCGCACTTTAAATTTCCAAGAGATGAGACCAGACCTGACAGGACTGTACAGCTGTTCCTACAGGAGGGGAGAACACCAGTCCCTGCTCAGTGCCCCCCTGCCCCTGGTGATGACTGGTGAGTGGCACACGGGCAGCAGGGCCAGGGCACCTCTTGGCAGAGGAGAGAACCAGGATCTGAGATGAGAAGCTCCAGGCAGCAAAGCCTCCGTCTCTAGGAAGGAATCGGGGAGGGTGCAGGGACGGATGCCCTCCGGGCGGGACACCCAGGGAGAGAAACCAGAGCCAGGTCTGCTCCCCGGGACCAGGAGGACAGTGCACGTGTGTGGCCCCCCCTTTCTCACTAAACTTCCTTGTCTCTCAGGAGCTTATGACAAACCCTCACTCTCGAGCATGAACGGCACCGTGATGGCTTCGGGAGACAATGTGGACTTAGAGTGTTTCTCCAAGGCCAAGTTTCAAGCATTTCTTCTCACCAGAGACGATGCACCTCACCCCACCCAGAGACAAAGCTCCACCCCCCAGGACAATGGACGTCAGGCCACCTTCCACATGGACCATGTCTCCCCCACTCAGGCAGGGGCCTACAGATGCTACGGTGTCTTCACCACTGACCCCTACCTGTGGTCTCACCCCAGTGACCCATTGGAGCTTGTGGTCACAGGTGAGGAAGCCCGTCCATCCCCACATCCCATTCTGGGGATCCCACTGTCCAGTTAGAGCAGTGACCGGGCGAAAGAGAACGTCATGTGGGAAGCCCATGGCACCCCATCTGCTTCCAGACAAAGCTACGAGCACCCCACCCCTCACCCCTCACCCCTCACCCACTGTGCAGCCCTCCTAACACATGCCAGGGGCTGGGAGAGCATGCAGGTCACTGGGAGTCGGGGAGGGAGCCTGAGCACAGATAAATAAACCACCCCCATTTCATGCCCATCTGCAGGAGCTCCTGCTGACCCTGCTCCCACAGAACCCAGGCCTCCTCACGGTGAGTCACTGCTAATCCTCACAGAAGGGGCAGGACAGGCAGAAGGAAGATCATGTGCCAAGGGAACCAGGCAGAGAGAAGCTTTAGTGCCCACAGAATGTCAGGGAGGCCAGACCCCGCCGGCTGGGTCAATAGTTTAATCAGAGGGACAGGCACAGGCAGGGCTCCAGTGGAGAAGACTGAAAGCACCCGGTCCCACTTCTGTCTTTCTTGACCCGAGAATTCCTTAAGGAAATCAGGACAGTGCTCACAGTGACAAGGGGAAAGAAGCCTTATGCACGCTGTGGGCTTGGACCCATCAGATCCAGAAGACCGGAGACATGAGCTCGTGCAACGGGCTTGGCCCTGCTCTGTAACCTCTGTCCTTTCTCTCTCAGAACCTGCTGGTTGGAGTGTTTCAGCCGAGAACCAAGTCCGGCTTATGTCCATGGTGATGGGTAAATTCCTAAGAGTGGTTGTACTGGAGGGAGGAAAACAGGCCTAGAAGAGAAAATGCTGATTTTTTTTTCCAGTAATAACTTTTCTTATACTGTTTTTTATTTTTCAATTCCAGTTGACATTCAGTGTTATTTTGTATTAGTTTCAGGTGTACAGCATAGTGGTTAGACAATCCTATACTTTACAAAGTGATCCCCCCAAGATTTCCAGTACCCACCTGGCACCATCCATAGTTATCACAATATTATTGACAATATTCCCTGTGCCGTACTTTACATCCCCGTGATATTATGTAACTATCAATTTGTGCTTCTTAATCTCTCCACCTTTTCCACCCAGCCCCCAAACCCCTTCCCACCTGGGGACCATCAGTCAATTTCTGTTTCTATGAGTCTGTTTCTACTTTGTTTCTTCATTTTGTTCTTTAGATTCTAAATAAGACAAATTGTATTTGTCTCTCTCTGTCTGATTTATAATCAAAGAGCACAGAAAGCAAACATAAAAGATGGGTGTCTGTGTTGGTTGGTTTCAGGACTGAAGTCACACAGCTATTTTTGGTTCACCAATTATTTCTGCTTGGGTTTGGTTTTTTGTTTCACTGTTTTTGTTGTTATGTTTCACTCCTGAAGAGGAGACACCTTTAAAAGCAGGAGAGTAAAACAACAGAGTTACAGGAATCTAAACCCGGCCGCTATTACAGCTGAGTTGAGGAAATAATTCAGTACTGTTTTTTCTTGCAATTTATATTTTTTAATTGAATTGATTGGGGTGACATTGGTTAATAAAATTATATAGGTTTCAAGGGTATAATTCTATGTCATCTGTGTATTGTATTGTGTGTTCTAAGAAAAAAATTAATATCCTTTGACCTAAGCCACTCTGTGCTCGGTTGGTGTGGCTCAGTGGTCGGGCAGCATCCTGTGCACCAAGAGGTCACTGGTTCAATTCCCAGTCAGGGCACATGCCCAGGTTGCAGCTCGATCCCCAGTGGGGGGCATGCAAGAGGCAGCCAAGTGATGTTGCTATTTCTCTCTATGGACTACTTGAATGGGTTGTGATGCTGGGGCTCAGCTTGGGTGGAGGTAGACTGAAACACCACAACCAGAGGGAAACCCTAGAGCAGCAGGAGGTATTTCTGAATATGCAGAACCAGGTAGGATTTATCATTGTCTACAAAGTCCTCAGGGTCTGATGAATGAAGAGCTGACTAAATAACTTGGAGCATTCCCAACCTACCGCAGCTCTTGGGAAGAATATTTTAACTTTCCCCATGGGGTCTTTATAAAATGTAAACCCAGGAAAGGTCAGCCGTTACATTATCTCAGATATGTATGGAAGAATGACTCCTGTAGGTGCAAAAACAGGAAGATTTAAAATCAAAATGATGTGTTTATGAAGAAGAGTGGATGGCATAGCTACTCAGTAAGATTCAGGCAGTACAATTGTTTAAAAACAAAAGGGTGAAGAGAGCTGGCACTCAAATAAACCTCTTTCCTTTCACCGGCAAAAAAAAAAAAAAAAAAAAAAAAGTGACATAACCCAGTGAAATTACCTTGTTTAGGTTCATCATTTTCACCAATGGACAGAGTCAGTGCTAACACTGACTGTGGTGGGAACATACACAAAAGGCAAAGAACTAATAATTATGTCATTGCCTCCCAGGCAGGGCCTGCTCTGGGCAACGTGCACACACTGTGAGGATAGCATTCCATAAAGTCATCACTATTGCCCCATTTGGTACATAAATAGAAGGAAGCTCTGAATTTTGTAGCAAGAGCCATGAGCTCATGGAGAATTTCAGAGCAGACCTCTGGCTGGGTTCTACTTCTCACCTACTCTTTCCCTGTGATTTCTCTTACTGCTCACTTTATACAGAAAGATTAAGTGCTCATGAGGAACCGGGGACAGAAGATATAGACCACATTAGACTGACAGGTTTGAAGTTCAGGCGACTAACATCTTCATGATCTCAGCTGCACTTGTACGACTTACTGAGAACAGGTTGTGAAATGCCTTCACTAAGAGGAGTAAGAACCGAGGCCATCCCACCACTTCCTGTGCTTTGTGTGACATCTAGCGAAGTCCATTTGCCATAAAAGCGGCATCGCTGAGGCCAGTGGGCCAGACAGGACCCAGGATCATGTCCGTGGTTCTTCCAACTCTGCTCTGTCTGGGTGAGTCTGGAGGGAAGGCCCGGGGGGCAATGCTACAGGGGCAGGTGGGTGGTTCCAGAGGCTGGACTCTTGTCCAATATAAGTAAATAACGGAAACAGAAACAGACTCACAGACACAGAGAACAGACTGATGGCTGCCGGAGGGAGGGGTTTGGGAGCTGGGTGAAAACGTGAAGGAGTTGAGAAGGACAGATGCGCGGTTACAGAACAGTCACGGGGATATGAAGTACAGCACAGGAAACATGGGCCATAAAATTGTAATAACCATGGATGGGGCCAGGCGGGTGCAGGAAATATCAGGGGGAAGCACTTTATAAAGCATACGATTGTCTAGCCACTAGGTTGTATACTCAAAACTAATGCAAAATAATATTAAATGTAAACTGCAAATTGAAAAAACATTTTTTTAAGACTGGGCTGTTCTCACCTGTGTTTCCTTCCAGGGCTGTATCTAGCCCAGGGCACTCGGGCTCAGGACGGTGAGTGTCTTTTCAATACTCAAGGACTGAGTAGGGTTTGGCCAGATGCCAGCTCTCTCGGTGGCTGGGAAGAGGGGTCTTGGCACTTAAACCCGTGGCTGCAAGAGAGGAGGAGGTGGAGAATGGCACCAACACCAGTAAATGTATCACCTGTTCTTCTAGGACGACTCCCCCCACCGGTTATCACAGCTCGGCCTGCGTCCGTGGTTCTGTCTAAAAGCCCTGTGACCATCCTGTGCCAGGGGCCTCCAGACGCTGAAGCATATGAGATATTCAAAGAGAAAGGACCTGAGCCGAGGAACAGGCTGGAATTCCAGGTGGCCGGGAAGACCCGCACTTTAAATTTCCAAGAGATGAGACCAGACCTGACAGGACTGTACAGCTGTTCCTACAGGAGGGGAGAACACCAGTCCCTGCTCAGTGCCCCCCTGCCCCTGGTGATGACTGGTGAGTGGCACACGGGCAGCAGGGCCAGGGCACCTCTTGGCAGAGGAGAGAACCAGGATCTGAGATGAGAAGCTCCAGGCAGCAAAGCCTCCGTCTCTAGGAAGGAATCGGGGAGGGTGCAGGGACGGATGCCCTCCGGGCGGGACACCCAGGGAGAGAAACCAGAGCCAGGGCTGCTCCCGGCGACCAGGAGGACAGTGCACGTGTGTGGCC